TTTCGCAGAAAGTAGAGACGCATTTACAGTTACAACAAAACGAGAATTGAGATGAAAAACATTACATTTTCTCTAATTTCCCTGCGAAACATAAGCCTGCCCCGAATGGCTCCTGTTTCGTAGAGCGTTTGCTCAGGTAGCACCTACGTCCCGCACGGGATTGGCTTACTCTTGTTAGTTTAACAAAATTGCCAGCTAGCATTTTGGAGGGTAGCAATTTCATTGTTCTATTTAAGGAAGAAAATTGTAGGGAAACTTAAATATTTTCCTAATACAACTTTTGGGTCCAACCATGAATGCAAAAAACGCTTTTTACGAGTTTTAAGCTCAAACTGAGCTTCGATTTTAAAATGTATACTTTGACTAAGACTAACTGTAACGATATAAAAAAGAAACAATAATAAAGCCTTTAACTGCAGTTAACATGACATGTGTAATTTATTTTTTGACTCGAGTAGGTACTTACATTTCTTCCACTATTGACATCATGAAAATATCATATGCTCTATAATCATCACCATGTGGGTTTAAGATAGAAAATATATTTTTTAAGTCTAAATAAGACTTCTTTCTGTCCTTAGGATTAAACTCCAGACTTCTAATTAAAGTGCTTTATTTTTTCAGCGGTACCTACACTGAATTCCAAGTGCTTTGTTTAGAATTTAAATAGATCTACCTTCTATATCTTTGTAACGGTAATTACGTATATATAGAAGGTACTAGATATAATATTCTTTGCCCAAATTACCTCCAGGGTAATATCGGAGGCACCGCAGCCGCTATCTACGCCGCTCGGCCACATTTTCCGCACGCCCCGGGCCATATAAACTCAAACGATACGCTGTCTTTTTAAAATGAAATCGTTACTACCCCGGAAAAGGCAATTTTGGTCCAACTTAAACCTAAGAAGAACCCCGGGAACATATCCAATACTCATACTAAACAAAACCTATCCCGCACTGCCCGCTATAAACTCAGAAGGTCTGAGGTAGCCTAAATCCACAATGAACGCTGGAGCCCCGAGAAATTTAATAAAAGCGTCTGCCTGCAATACAAATACCGATTTAGATGAAGGTATAAAAGCATATTATTGCCTAGAACGTAGGTATACGTATTCATATCCTCGCGTTATGACATTAAGGAGGCTGATTTACGAAAATGACGAGGGAGGCGTTGCAAAATGCTAATTTCCAAGACACAGGAACAGGTGGCGCGGGCCGTGTCGCTGGTTAATATCGACTTTTTTCTCAGAGACCACACACAGGCTTGTGGAATAAAATTATCGGTTATCTTGTAGATCGGGCGGCGGGCGAGCCTAAGCAAACTATCAAAAAACATTACGGGGTGCAAATAACAACGATCACGGTATGTAATGAAAATCTTGCATCGGGATTAGTGTCTAGTGGTGAGGCGGCGCGCGCCGAGCGCCGAGGGCGGCAATCGATGGGAGCGCGCCCCGCCGCCCAGACTGGCAGACGCCCGGCCACGGCGACCCGGACCACACGTCCCGCCCGCGCCTCACCAGCCATCCTTCAATGTTTACACATCGGACACAAGAACAGCTGACCGGTAAGTCACGTGCTTTATCTTGCCGCGCTCGCCGCGATGCGACCTCTCCGCTCGAGCCCGGTGTAATGCTGTCGTAAATAACGAATATAATGCACCCTTGCGCCCTTTCACGTCACTCTATTCATTCCGAAACAGGCTCGGAATTCTTTAGTTATCTTTACGAGTGGTGGTCCGAGCTTTTGTAATTTATCCTTTATGTGCAACAATAGCCGGTGGACAAAAGCGGACGGTTGTCGTGCGAGGATAGTAAAAAATTAAAACCTGGCTCGCTACCGGCTCGGAGGTTCGCAAAAATAATTTTCGCAAACCAATCGTGTATTCCGCAAACTCTCATTGGTCTCCGGGAACAATAGAATGTTTCGCGACAATCCGACAAAAGGTAAGGTAGTTTGTGAGACAATTTCCCTCGTCCTCTGTTCGGAATTGTACATAATTTCCGCAGTTTTGCGAGGAGGCGTTTCGGTGGCGGAACTTATGTGCTATCAGTGTTACCCTTTTCGCTTTGAAAACCCAGGCGTGTTATAAATCGGTTGCTTTATTTTATAGGTGGTGTTCCCCGAGGAGCGGCGGGTCTGGCGTTACGGCAGCGGCGGGCTTTTAAGATATTGGAAGGGACCTCGATGTGGTGTGAAAATGCCACTTTTGACTCGTAAACTCTCCTATCTGATACCGCACTTTTTGAACACTTTACACTTTTACAAATTTAACTTTTTGCAAACACATTATATTTTTTGCACATTTCCAAATCATTCACTTGCAAATTAACAATTCAAAATGTAGAGTCACACACTTATCACAAACTTAGGTTTAGAAGAACATTTCTAACATTAATCTTTGGTGTTTCAGGTACTTCTTGCTGGTTGATTCTTCAAGCTGATGAAGTTGAAGAAAAGAAGAGAAGAGAAGATTACGCGTCGCCTTCTGTACGTATACTGAATGTATCCTGAGTGCCTCATTCTTTCCGGTATACCTTCAGTATACGTAACAGAAGATGACACTAGACATCGGGAGAAGATCGTCGGGAAGATTCTTGATTCCTTTTGATTGTTTTCTTCATTGTAACTTTTACCTGTGTGTAATTGCATTGTTTTAGGATAAGTAGTAATACCTGCTATATTTGTTAAAACTTTGATTCAATGAGAACTTGTTATCTTAATATGCTCTAATTATTTTCACATTGTTTAAATATTTCAGGTTAATAAGTTTACATTTTTGTAAATATTGTATTATAACATTACATGTTTTGTCAAATTCCTATTGCATATTTCACTATTTTAACTGTGTACTTTGTAATTTGTGACTTTATCTCAATCATATCCTACCTAATTAGGAAATTGTACTTATGTATATCATTATGTGTTTTATGAATTAATAAAGATACATAAACATTTGCTGTTTTAATAATAAAACCTTTAATAGTCACAAAAGTAACTAATTAGGTAGGCTAACTTACATCTTGCTCAAGTACTTAAAAAAACAGATTGCCTTAAGAAATTTTGCAGTATTTAAATAGTTGTTACTAAGAAAAAAGTATCGAAGATAATATTTTTTTAGCTTAGAACAGATTAAAGTTATGAATTAAATATTATTTTTTCTGCGAAACTAGCTAAAGACCCATAAATTACTCCACACATATAGAAAATTAACAGTGAGTTGTAATTTGTTTAAATTATTTTTTTATCTTTAAATGTTTGTAAGTACTACGTACATCAAGCTCACTATAACAATAGTACCTTATAAGAGAGAAAATCAATAATGTTACAGTAGTAAACTTTATGGTGAAGATTAATAATTACCAATATAACAAAGGCTAACGTTAATTTTGTCCATTATAATACTAATTGTAAAAAAATATAGAAATAAAATTGAGATAAATACTTTTAATTAATTTATGTCCAAACCTGTCATTACTTCATTAATACACCGAGATGGAGCTTTGAAATTATCGGAAAATACACGAAATAAGGTAAGATATGACTTTATCAAATCCCAAGAAGTAAAAAAATACTGGGTTCTATTCCCTGAGATTATGGTGAAAACTGCCAACTTATTCATTCCGATCAAAACCTTATAAAGATAAACCTAATTAGCAAAATTCTGTAAAATTATTAACTCTAATATGCACATACAGAGTACTTGGTAATATAATTTTCCATTTCTACAACATACACTGAGAAATTATCAAAAATATGAAATACCTACCCTTGACATAGATAGCCCTATGTAAAATATTATGGTATAGCGTAATTAATGATGGCATGAAATAAAAGTTATTGGTTCGATCCAAAACTTAAAGCACATAGTTAATAAAAAAAATGATGAAGTAATTTAGCCACAAATAATTAATATACAATTATTACCATAGTTAAAAACATACTCTTAGTTATTTTATTGGAGCTAAAGTAATGATGAATATAATTTAAATAGGCTTTTAGGAGTCTCTACATTTGGGTTAAGTTATATTTAAAAGTAGCAACAAGACGTCTAAAAAACCTATAATTAAAATCATCGTTATTAATAATTTCATTTTTTTATAATTTACCGTAAAATCAACGCCTCTAGAATTATTTTTTAATAAATCGATGACAGCGCCATCTCACAAAAATCCCATGAACTTGCTGCATACGTATGCTTTTAGCGAGCTTTGAGACGCAAGCACCCATGTAAAAGCTATCATACTATGAAAGTAGTATTATGGTAATATTATTGAAAAGATTATAATAAAAATAATGTTATGGCAGATAACTATTACATACATCAGCATTACATAGTATTTTGCTACGGAAGTGACTCTACATTGAAGTACTGCATACAAATGAATACAAAAAATATTAACCAATGAATATTTATTTTAAAAAGTATGATTACCAGTCAAATTATAGTAAGTAATTTGATTCTGAATTGTATTTTGCAACTGAATGATTTTTCATAATTACAAAAACTAAGTCTAAATCATGCAACTAAAAATAATGGTATCACAAAAAATGTGGTAAGTAGGTACCATTATTTTTATTGTGGTACCTAAGTACATAGTTGATTTTATTAATAAAAATAACATCTCAGAGTTACTTCACAAATTCAGTAACTCTGTAATTTATCATTTCAAGTAATGATTTAATTTCTGTACGACTTATAAAATATAACAGCCGAGCGGTAGTCTCCTAATTTTTTAAGGATTTATGAGTACTGCTGTCATAAAAGCCAAGGTTCAAAAAGGGTTTCGACACAAAAAGGGTATTGTTTCAAAGAGAAAGTTGCCATCCCTTCCGCGTTGAGGTGACCAGGAAGAATAGAAATTGGAACAAAAAAGAGAAAGTCATTGTAAAGGTAAAAATATATTCTGGCCAATCAGAGGGCTTAGAAGAAACTTTCTAATTTCGAATTGCATTTGGCCTAGCTATTTTTGTGACATTTGTTCAGCAGATCTGAAGATGTGAACTTATAAGTTTAAATATTGTGAAATATGTAGTTACTTTGAAATAATATGTGTTTGTGAGTGATGTGTTAACCTAGAGTAATATCTTAGGTCTGTTTTTCTAAATTACTGCGGATTTTGAAGAGAAGATAATGCGCAAAATATGCGTTGGTATCCATCACGTAACTCACATAAAGAAATCAATCTGTCTAATAAACCTCAGAGAAAAAGGTCAGTAATAAAATTTTCACAACCCATTCCGTCATAGGTTAAACTCCAATCGCCCCTCGAATGTAGGGTCGATACTCATCAGCGTCCATAAACCTGAAAAGTCTACTGTCTTTAGACATGACGTAATGCATACTAATAGACGAAATACAGCCTGCAGTCTGCACGTAGCCTAAACTGGGTCAGCGCAATTTAGTTTGCATAAAACTTAACACTAATTTACATAATTCCATACATCATCTCGGTTCTTGTTCGAAAATGCTTTCTAACTAGACAAAACGCAAACTCCAACAGTATTTTGCTAACCCTACAATGCTGGCATTCAGCCATCGTTGCACGAGATCGAAAATCACCCGACTACAGATCCAGCATCTGACCACTTAGGGAGTAAGCGAGATGAATATAACATTGATCGTGCGTCTGCGAGACTCCGGTATCGAGCGGGCCGTTGTCATGACAACAGACAATGGTTTTCGGGTGCATAATATTTTAGGCTGCGTCGGGGTGCGGACTGAGGGCGCGGGGGGAGGGTAGGTCGAGAGCGGCAGCCATCTTTAAAATTATATTTCCAGTTTGGACGTACTCCTTCGATTCCAGCGCTACTTTTTCCTTCCATGAAGGGATGTAGGATACGGTAAATTTTGGATATGCTACAGCAATATTGAAAAACTTTCTTTTGGTTTGGTGAACTTCTGAACATTGAATAAAGAACAATCTCAGTTTTAAAAGCTTTGCTTTGGGACCTTCTTTTGAATTCTAGAACTACATGAAATTGTCTCAATTTCGAGTGATTTTCATAGGGATATCTACTTGTATTAATTGTGATTGACTTTCAACTATCAATAGAAATAGAAAATCGATGATCATGAAAATTTGGCATAGCTCTGAGGTAGAGGACCTTCAAGGATGAAACATAATTTACCCAAGAATAATAAATTTTATTTTTATATCGTTCGTATTATCGTATTAGTAATACAAAAGAATACCTACATTTGTTTTTAATTAAAACCAAATAATTGCATCGCTTGATTAATATCAATTTAATTGACACAAACCAAAAGAGTGTCACGAGATAAGGCTATAAAACGTTATCGTTTTATCTGCAGCATCGGCGTTTACTGTGCGAGAGTGCCTCGTCTGCGGCTCGGATTCCCTCGTAAAGCCTCCGATTAATGGCCATCCTCCGACAGAGCCTCCACCTCGATTAAGCGATATTCTACTACCTACCTGCCCTTCAGTTATTCCACAAGAAATTCCGCCAACGCAATTTCAAAGAAAAATTTTAAAAGAAAAAGTTACATTGCGTCTTCCTAGTTGAATAATCTTACCTCTTACTTTGCTGGCACGCTCCAAGATTTCACATCTGAAACAAAAAGAATATTCATTTAAAAAATGAATCTCGCCGAATTGGTACGCGTAGAAGTTTTTTGATTTTATTCTGACATTGAAAAAATACACTCGGTTAGATTAAGGCTCCGGCTGAAAATTCTAGAAATGTTAAGGCAGCTCTACATAATTTTGGATGCAAAAGTCACCCAGTTAAAACAACACAAGGGTAAAGAATTTCATATTTGTCGTGTCTCACTCGACCCCTCTCACAACACCCCGTGATCTTTCCTCCGTCCAATTTAAACGTATTACATAACACATTAGGCGTATCTCATACAGATAGCGCCTCGTAAAATAAAAGCAAAGTGGCTTGGCAGCCCCGCTGCATTGGAGGGTTAGGCTAGCGCCGAGCCAAAAAATCTCTCAAATCTCAAACCTTGTGATACACAATTTCGTGCAGATTTGCATTTGTTACTGTATTTTGTGAAAATGCCAGATCCCGGCATCGAACTTCAAAGCGAGGCTGGCTCAGCTGTCTAGACGCCCCGACCACGGTCAAAGCCCGGGCAAAAGGGCAACACGAATTGAAAGAAAAATCGAACTCTTTGTTGTGATGCTATGACATTTTCTTCGCTTATTTTTTCGGCTGTAATGAGATCGCCTAACGTAATTTCATGCGACTGCTCCAAGGCAAATGGGGGAATTCAAATGGTTTGTGGCGAGACATTATTTTCTCTTGCTAAATTAATTTTAGGACGAATTCAGTCGTTCTTCTTTGACGGCTGCTTACAGCCGAGAAAGGATAATAAATTCCATATTTGGATTAAAATGTGCTTAGCTGTGTTTGCTATTCAAGGTTTAAGCTAATTAAAATAATAACAGCAGCTGCCTATGGAATTTAATTTACCTTCGTGTTCTTAATCATAAAGTATTATTTAAAAACTACTTATTAATAAGCGTCGCTGCTAGCGCAAATAGCCTTAACTTTCAATAAAAATGAAGTTTTATAAAGCCATGATAAGGCTAAAACACAATAAAAGATATGAATGCTCACGTATTTGCAGTCAGAAAACCTGTACATATGTAAACGTGGTAGGAAAAAATCAATATAATTTATTCAAAATGGGCCCCAACGTCGTTCCTTGCACGACCCCAGTCTGGGAAATATGTTCCGGATAATACTTCCCATAAGGAACACTTTAAAACACCTGATGCTACATTTTTGCTATTGTGGGGATGACGACTTGTGTTTTTTTTGTAACTTTACGTAATGTGAATTTAAAAGATTTCCCTTTTTAATTTAGTTACAAGTTTTCTGGTGGTCGCCACTCAAGAACTTTCCTGCCCCAGCGGCCGTCAGCTCTTCGAGCTATGTGCCCCGCCTACTGCCACTTGATTTTAGCGATTCTGCGGGCTATGTCAGTCACTCTGGTTCTCCTACGGATCTCCTCATTTCTGATTCGATCACGCAGGGAGCTGCTAGAAGCTGGATCGAGCTGAATCGAGCTGGAAGACGTAGCGTGGGCAGGCCTCCCACTAGGTGGACCGACGATCTGGTGAAGGTCGCGGGAAGTACCTGGATGCAAGCGGCGCAGGACCGGTCTTTGTGGAAATCCTTGGGGGAGGCCTCTGTCCAGCAGTGGACGTCTTTCGGCTGAAACGAACGAACGAACGAACAAGTTTTCTGAAGGTTCCTTATGATATTGTAGAGCTCTGTTCCCTTTTTTAATTTAAAATAAAATTAACTTCACTGACTAAAATGATATCATAGTAATCATCAAAAGCGTAATAGTCAAGTAACTACTAAAAGTAAGAGAATTTTTTGACCATATAATAACGATTTTCCATGTCGTTTATAACTTTAAATTTCGGCCTAAAGGCTGTAAAACAAGTAGCTCTATAATTACTAAGTTTCAGGCGCGCGTACTTATCTTGTTATAGATCGCAATAGCTATGTTACTGTTGGAATTTAAAGCATTTTTATAATTAGGCAATCATTATGTATAACAACCAGTCTGAGTTGAGGATATACAGACAGACCCTAGTTGAATACATAATTGTATAATATCATTATATCCATAACAATGAATATTGATTCTTTCATAAATCAATGTTTTATCGCCATATCATCACGTCATGCGCCGTTCCACATTCTGAACATAATCACTCCCTTTAATTAGATTTAATTAGCACCTGTTTTCAGCTATTAGCTTATTAGAATACTCTCCTTGTTTACCCGAGCGGTCTAATTATGGTAATCTCAAAATAAAGTTATGCGACACTTGTAAGGGACCGACCCCAGCGGACGACATTTAGCGCACTCACCCTCCGTCCCTTACAACTATAGGTATAGGTATTCATATAACCGAATATGTTTTTGATACGGGAACCGTCGGGATATCTAGCGGATTTGGTATTGTAATCCACGGAGCGGTAGTAAGTGACGTTTTGATAATTATCACGAGACGACGTCAATTAATGTTTGTTGTTGAGTTTTGGTTGTATTTTGAATGAAAAGGAGCTTAAAAATAGAGTCAAACTTAAGTTTGGGCAGACGTAAGATGGCAGCGTAATTTAACTTTTTTTTATCCATGACAAGGAAGGTATTTGACCGCAATCGCACCTGGTGAACTAAAAATTTCAAAACTGAACTGATCACAGAGTTCAATTAATTCTCGAAAGAGATTCATAGGTTGAGAGGCGTGATCAATACGGGCCTGAACATACATACGTTTTATATCTCAAAGTACCTAATATCGAGCATTGAGAGCTAAGATCCGATCAGACATCTAAAGTTAAAAGTCATGCAAACACGCATCAGAAGGTGAATTACCTACAGACAACAGCATATCAGATTTGACATTTTGTTGCATTTTAGCACCTATTCCAACTACATTTAAGACACTGCAGTGTTTAGCTTAATAAGCCGTTGTTTGTACATACAGTAGCCTCATGAGCTCCCCAAACAAAAACAAACCGGGACCACACATCGTAACGCAACGCACTTAATACTTTCATCCCGAATTAACATTTTGGAATAAACTCGCTTCTTAAAGCATTTATTACACGTGCAAATCTTTTCATAAATATTCATACTGTTGATAAGTTTATTCGCGCATTTCTCCTTGGAACGGGTTCATGACGGCTTAATAAGTTTACCGAATTTGTGTGTTTGGTGGAGGCTTAAGACGCGCCCATACTACCCGCAGTGCAATGGAAGTACACATGCTAATAAATTTCAGACATTTTATATGGACGTTCGACCTACAAGCGAGGAGCGCCCTCGAGTGTCGTGGTCCTCGCTCGAGTCTACGTGGGCCTTTACTTTTTCGCTGATAACCAAATACACATTTAGTACATAATAAAAAGATACATATTTGGACTTCGATCTCAGAATATAGGTACAGACCACCACAACAAACTGAAACCTGTAACATCTTCATGCCTTTGTTATAGGAGCTATTTTTCAAGAAAATGTAGGCAGTCTCTCAGTTGTCGACTGTACGATTTACCAGACATGAAATACTATCAGTTCAACTTCACCTTAACATTTTAAACGCAACTTTACAATAATCCACGGTGAATTTTTCATAAAGCGTTAACATGACAATAAATAGGAATAAGTTACACGGTATTTTGACAAGTAAATTACATTATTAATGACCAATTTAAAG